AAGTCGGACTCTTGCTTCACGAGGCCTCAACTTTCAGGCTCCTGGATTTTCCCGTGTGGTGGGAGGCTGGGGTGGGGGGGACGGGGCCTTGGGAGACGGCCCTCCCCAAACCTGGTCCCCCCACTCCCATCGCTACCAGCTCTCTGCTCTCCGGATCCCACCGCTGCCCCCCAGCTTCTGACTATGTCTCAGCTTGTTCGCCCACAGGCTCTGCCTGTAGCTGGATCACTTGGGGGACCAGGGTCGGGGCATCTATACCCCAAACTCTCCTCCCACCCTACGCTCACCCCCCACAAGTCTGACCCCCTCACTACCCAGCTGTTACATTTGGGGGGCCCTCCATCCCACCATCAGGTCCCCTGAACCCCACTTTGAGGCCCGGCATGCCCCATGGCCCCTTAGACTGGCCACCCCCCAGCCCTGCTGATTTGGGGGTGCTCTCCCCCATCCCTGATCACACACACCCCAAAACATTTGCTGGCACTAAAATTTAAGCCCCCAAAAATGACCCCCCGGCTTGGGGTGGGGCTCAGTGGAGTGACGTAGGCACAGCCCCTAGTCCCTAGCGGTTTTGGGGTTGTCTGGCATTGTCCCACCCCCACCTGACAGCCCCCCACCCCCAACGTTTGCTGGCACTAAGATCTGAGCTTCCTAAAGTCTCCCAGGGGAGGGCGAGGCGGTGAGACGCCCGCCCCAAGGCGTTTCTACTTGCCCACCCGTGTCAGGGGGTTTAGGGGTCCCCCACTCTAGAGCCCCCCACATGTGCCAGCATCGAGGGCCAGCCCCCCGGGATAACCCTGTGGGGAGACCCTGGCTCCCTGAGGGGCATGTGGCCCTTAAAAGGGGGCGGGGGGTGGATCCATCCACTCTGATCTCTAGAGTTTGAGGCGGGGTGTCTGGTGGGTTCCCCCCAAGCTGATCAGCCCCAGATTTATCACAGGTACACAACCTCACACACACACACAACTAGACACACAGACCCACGCACCACTACACAACGGCACACACACAACCAGACGCTCACAGAGTTCCATGCACAACTACACAAGTACACACAGACCCACACACAACTGGACACTCACGCAGAGACCCACACACAACCACACACACACAGAGACCCACACACCACTACACAACGGCACACGCAGAGACCCACGCACAACCACACACACACAGAGACCTACACAACGGCACACGCAGAGACCCACGCACAACCACACACACACACAGAGACCCACACACCACTACACAACGGCACACGCAGTGACCCACGCACAACCACACACACGCAGAGACCCACACACCACTACACAACTGCACACGCAGAGACCCACGCACAACCACACACACACCCACACACCACTACACAACGGCACATGCAGTGACCCACGCACAACCACACACACGCAGAGACCCACACACCACTACACAACGGCACACGCAGTGACCCACGCACAACCACACACACACACAGAGACCCACACACCACTACACAACGGCACACGCAGAGACCCACGCACAACCACACACACACACAGACCCACACACCACTACACAACGGCACACGCAGAGACCCACGCACAACCACACACACACAGAGACCCACACACCACTACACAACGGCACACGCAGAGACCCACGCACAATCACACACACACAGAGACCCACACACCACTACACAACGGCACACGCAGTGACCCACGCACAACCACACACACACACACAGACCCACACACCACTACACAACGGCACACGCAGAGACCCACGCACAACCACACACACACAGAGACCCACACACCACTACACAACGGCACACGCAGAGACCCACGCACAACCACACACACACACAGAGACCCACACACCACTACACAACGGCACACGCAGTGACCCACGCACAACCACACACACGCAGAGACCCACACACCACTACACAACTGCACACGCAGAGACCCACGCACAACCACACACACACACAGAGACCCACACACCACTACACAACGGCACATGCAGTGACCCACGCACAACCACACACACGCAGAGACCCACACACCACTACACAACTGCACACGCAGTGACCCACGCACAACCACACACACACAAGACCCACACACCACTACACAACGGCACACGCAGTGACCCACGCACAACCACACACACACACAGAGACCCACACACCACTACACAACGGCACACGCAGAGACCCACGCACAACCACACACACACAAGACCCACACCACTACACAACGGCACACGCAGAGACCCACGCACAACCACACACACACACAGACCCACACACCACTACACAACGGCACACGCAGAGACCCACGCACAACCACACACACACAGAGACCCACACACCACTACACAACGGCACACGCAGAGACCCACGCACAACCACACACACACAGAGACCCACACACCACTACACAACGGCACACGCAGAGACCCACACACAATCACACACACACAGAGACCCACACACCACTACACAACGGCACACGCAGTGACCCACGCACAACCACACACACGCAGAGACCCACACACCACTACACAAGGCACACACAGTGACCCACGCACAACCACACACACACACACAGACCCACACACCACTACACAACGGCACAGCAGAACCCACGCACAAGCACACACACACACAGAGACCCACACACCACTACACAACGGCAACGCAGTGACCCACGCACAACCACACACACGCAGAGACCCACACACCACTACACAACTGCACACGCAGAGCCCACGCACAACCACACACACACACAGAGACCCACACACCACTACACAACTGCACACGCAGTGACCCACGCACAACCACATACACACACAGACCCACACACCACTACACAACGGCACACGCAGTACCCACGCACAACCACACACACACACAGAGACCCACACACCACTACACAACGGCACACGCAGAGACCCACGCACAACCACACACACACACAGACCCACACACCACTACACAACGGCACACGCAGAGACCCACGCACAACCACACACACACACAGACCCACACACCACTACACAACGGCACAGCAGAGACCCACGCACAACCACACACACACAGAGACCCACACACCACTACACAACAGCACACGCAGAGACCCACGCACAACCACACACACACAGAGACCCACACACCACTACACAACGGCACACGCAGAGACCCACACACAATCACACACACACAGAGACCCACACACCACTACACAACGGCACACACAGAGACCCACGCACAACCACACACACTCAGAGACCCACACACCACTACAAACGGCACACACAGTGACCCACGCACAACGACACACACAGAGACCCACGCACCACTACACAACGGCACACACAGTGACCCAAGCACAACCACACCCACACACCACTACACAACGGCACACACAGTGACCCACGCACAACCACACACACGCAGAGACCCACACACCACTACACAACTGCACACGCAGTGACCCACGCACAACCACACACACACACAGACCCACACACCACTACACAACGGCACACGCAGAGACCCACACACAATCACACACACACAGAGACCCACACACCACTACACAACGGCACACGCAGTGACCCACGCACAACCACACACACGCAGAGACCCACACACCACTACACAACTGCACACGCAGTGACCCACGCACAACCACACACACACACAGACCCACACACCACTACACAACGGCACACACAGTGACCCACGCACAACCACACACACAGAGACCCACGCACCACTACACAACGGCACACACAGTGACCCACGCACAACCACACACACAGAGACCCACACACCACTACACAACGGCACACACAGTGACCCATGCACAACCACACACACAGAGACCCACACACCACTACACAACGGCACACACAGTGACCCATGCACAACCACACACACAGAGACCCACGCACCACTACACAACGGCACACACAGAGACCCACGCACAACCACACACACAGAGACCCACGCACCACTACACAACGGCACACACAGTGACCCATGCACAACCACACACACAGAGAGACCCACACACCACTACACAATTGCACATGCAGAGACCCACGCACAACCACACACAGAGACCCACACACCACTACACAACGGCACACACAGAGACCCACGCACAGTTGGACACACACAAACACAGAGAGACTCACACACAACTAGACACACAGTGACCCCTGCACAACTCCACACGCACACACACAAGATCCATGCAGAACTACACACACACAGGCCCACATACGAGACACCCATGGAGACTCACACAACTGCAAACACACACACACACACACACACACACACACATAGCCCTGCACACAACTAGACAGCCACACAAAGACCCACTTGCAACTGGACACACACACACACACAGTGACCCACACACAAGCAGAGAGGCACTCACAACCGGACACAGACCCCACACACACACACACCCCCTTCTCAAGGCTCCTCACTCTCACCCCTTTCCCACCCCCTCACTTCACTGGGGGACTGCCAGCCCCCCCATTCCTGAGCCCCCCTAAACCCACCATGTGACCCCCCCCAGACAGAGACGCCCAGGCCGCCAGGTCCCAGCGTGGCGACATGGGCGGCGGGGACCCCGGTATCCCCGGGGGGGCTCCCCCCGCCCTCTCCAGGGCGGGATTCACACCTCCCCGCTCCCCAAAACCACAGTTCCAGTCGCGGGTCCCGCTTCTGCTTTTGACGCCTTCTATTTTGGGCTCTTTCCTCTTCCCGCCTTTCGCCATCGCAGACTCTCTTGTCTTTCCCTCCCTCTCTGTGGGCGGCAGCTTTGGGGTTGAAAATTTCCTCCCGTGTCATGGGGGAGGCGGCTCCGAAGTGCAGGCGGCCGGCGTATAAATAGGAGCCGATGCCTCGAGGCTGCCACGCTTCTCCACTCATCAATCACCCGGGGACAGGCGCTGCTGGGAAGATCCGGCCAGGGAAACCGAGGCACCACCAAGATCCACGCCTGGGAAACTGCCTGAATTCCGAGGGCGAAATCCGCTCCCCTTCGTCGCTCCGCTCCAGGAAAATCAGCTCGACTCGCCCGGTAGCTCAGGTGAAATTCCCCACGTTCGCCTGTTTCACAGCCGGTGAGATCAGCTGAATTCGCCCCGTGGAATCGAGTGAATTTCCCCAGCGAAACCAGCTAAGTTCACCCCTTCGACCCGGGGAAATCGGCTCAATCCGCCTGCCGGCGTCAGTGAAATCCCGGGAATCCGCCCAGGCCAGCTGCTCACTTCGCCCGGCCAGAAGCTAACTCTGGAGACCCCTGCCCCGAGGAAGCCGAGCCCAGCCACGCCCGCAGCCATGAGTACCGAAAGTCTGGTCTGCGACATCGAGAAGGGGGGCGTTATCGTGGTGCGGGAGTCGCGGCCCGGCGACGGCCGCTGGAAGTGTCTCAGCATCTGCTCCTTCCTGCTGCTGATGGGAGCCACGGCCGTCTTCGCTCTGCTGCATTTCAGAAACGGGGGGCCCGTGGTGAGCCAGGTGAGCCACGCCGCCGGGGCGGGGGCGCAAACCCCCCGAGCCACAGAGCCCGGCGCCGTCTGTGGCCGTCGGACTCTGATTGTGTGTGTCTTTGTGTCGTTCTGTGCGTGGGTTTCAACTCCCCGACCGTGGCTCTGCGTGGATTTTGATGTGTGTGTGTGGTTTGTCCACACGTGTGTGGCTTGGATGCTTGTGTGCGTGCATGTGTGTCTTTGTGGCCGGGGGTGTCTGTGTGGTTTTAACGACACAGTTGCACTCTGGGCTGTGTAGAGTTGTGTCTCTCTGTATTTCTCTGCCCGTTTGCCTACGAACGCATGGGTTGTGGGTTTTGTCTGTGTCTGTCTTTCCAGGTGTGGGTTTTGCCTAGACGCCGTGTTTATATCTGGTGACTGTGTTTTTGTCTGGGTGGGTGTTTTGTGCTGTCTGTATTTCTCATTTCACTTGCATGTGCCTTGCTCCCTGGGCTATGTTTTGTCTGGCCGGTCTTGTCCGCTGTCTGTGCCGTGTGTAATGATGTGAACAGCTCTGCTTCTTGCCGGGTGTGGTACACACAGCACCCGACACACACGCCTACTTTGACCTTGTAACCTCTGTACTCAACTCTCCTCTCTCTCTCTCTCTCTTTGCCAGGACCCCAAAGAACCCAGGAGTTCGGGCCACACACAGCAACTCAGTAAGTATTTCCCAAGGTTTATTTTCCAACTTTAGCCCACTGATAATTGCAGGCTTTAAGTCAAATCTCCCCTCCCAAGATGAAATTTCTCTTGCCAGATTTACCATAGATCTATTTACTGGCCCCCAATCATCTTCCCAAAAGGGTTAGCAAATTACAACTGGTCTCGATTGTTCTGTCCCGTTGCCTGACCTGAGATGCCTCCGGGTTTTTTCCGAGGCTGCTGGCTCGGGATTTCCCTGAAAAATCACGTTCGCTGAAAGTGTTTCGAATTTGACGTGGTGAAAGGAAGTGGAAACGGACAACGCTGCTAGCCCCTTTGGGAAAAACATCGCCCTGCAAATCTCAGCTCACTCCGGCCACATCTGGGGCCTCGAGGTGATCGGCCTTGAGAGCTTATTGACCTCCCCGAAGCTTCGGGAGGGTGGCTCCGCTCCTCCAAAACATGGAGAGCAGCTAAATGTTGGGAGACTAGAACATATGGAGCAAAGATAATACCTCCCCAACATCACCTTAACTCCCCTCCCGAGCCACCAAACCTGACCCATCCCCACCAAAATCTGGCCATCGTCCGCATCCAGCACAATTCTATCCCAGTTCTCCTCTTCCATGCATCGTGGTGACCTAGCAGGAGGAGACTAGAGAGTCCCCAACCTAGGGACTGCAAGGCTCCCGAGCCCGGGAGCCTTCCCACTCAGCCGGAGCTCTCTAAAGCCCATCTAGAGAAGACGGGTCACTAGCCAGGAGAAGGTGGGGGGGCTGGTGAACAAGGGACGATCTGTCTGACATTTGTCCATTTGTCCTTTCTGAAGCAGGTCCGATGACGATGAAGTTGCAAGCCCAGTCGCTGAACAAGCCAGCTGCCCATGTCGTCGGTAAGAGGAATTTACAGCTGGGATTGGGGAGGGCTTGAGGAACTGGGCCCTGCAGGGGCGGGGGCAGGAGTGCTTGTGGTTGCAGATTTCTATGTCTGAGGCAGGCAACAGAGAAGCAAAGACTTCCACAAAGACACACTCATACACAAGCACACATTTCCACAGACCGGTGCACCTCTGCTCATAAACATAGAGAGGAAGGGCCCTGTCTTTCAGAGTGATGGAGGCCAAAGATTTGGGTTACGTGGAAGTTGTAGGCCGAAGTCTGGGAGATGCCAGACAGCAGGGGGTTCAATCCCTCTAGGTTTTGGCCTAGTGTTGTCAAGGATTAGGCATGCCATCACTGGACTGTGTTGTAGGCCAAAGCCTGGGTAGACTGACTGCAGGGGAGAGACTAAGGTTAGGACCAAGAGTTATCAAGGGCTGGTGGCCCCATTTTGGGGGATGACGTGGGCCGAAGCCTGAGTAGATTGACCATAGGGGACAATCCGAGTAGGGTTTGACCACTCATAGATGGATCCTAGGGAATAATCCTGCTGGGTTTTGACCACGTGTGCCTTCTTCTGTCCCTCCCAGCATCCACTGACTCCAAAGAACTGATCTGGACTGACAAAGTGGCACACACCATGATGCAGAACGGGATGGCACTGGTAAACAACAAGCTGGTGGTCCCGTCCGACGGCCTCTACTTCATCTACTCCCAGGTGGTCTTCAAGGGAGACAAATGTCCGGAGGAGTCCATTTATCTCCAGCATACCATCTTTCGCTACTCCGTAGAGTACCCAGAAAACGTTGCCTTGCTGAGGGCCATCAAGTCGTTCTGCGAGGGGTCCAAGGCAGCCAAGAACGAGAAGGGGGTACAGTTCGAGTCCATCTACCAAGGAGCTGTCTTCCAGTTGATGAAAGGCGACGAGATCTCCTCTGAAATCCACTCGGCCCAATATTTAGATCTGAACAGCAACGGGCAGGTGTATTTTGGGGTGATCGCATTGGAATTAGGAGTTCCCCAATAATGATCCACCATCTTCCATCCTTGGCCAACTCATCCTCCATCCTTGGTCAACCCACCATCTTCCATCCGTGGTCAACCCTTCAACCCTCCTACCCAACTGGCCTCCAAAGCCAAGACTGCCATCGCGCATCCCACCACACCAAACTGACTATCAGAGATGCTCGGAAGACCTCTATGGACGTCCTTTATGCCTCTCTGCCAATATGCCCCATGGGGCCACAGATGTGCCCACCTCTAGGGACCAGAGGGGACCAAAATCTCTTTAGACTTGGCTTGTCTGCGGCGGTCAGGATGGGGCATTGGGTTGCATCTTGGTAGGACCAAACAAGAACCTACCAAGAGAATGATACACCTGGTCAGAGCCGCTGAGCTACAAAAATGTTGTGTTAACTAATATTGTGTTATTTTTATGGTTATTATTGGTAATTATTGTGGCTAATAATTTATTTATTTATGTATTTATATTTATTGGGGTTAACAAAGCTGTGTTGGTGCATGGAGAGATTTTTTTGTGTGTTGTACACACCTACGGCAAGTGTAGGCGATGGTGCGTGTGCCCACACATTCTAAAATTCTATATACGCATCAGAAGGGGGTCCTGGGGGTGTCTACGCGTAGACCCACAAAACGGCAGGTAATGTTTGTGTGTTTGTATCACACAGCTGCAGATAATAGACAGTTTTGTGTACACACACACACACACACAGAGTTGTTGCCTGTGGGTCTTTGACACAAACCCACACCAATTTTTGGCAATTCTAGCCATTTGTGTGTTTACAAAACACCCAGATTTTAGGAGAATGTGTGTGTGTGTGTGTGTGTGTGTGTGCAGAGATCACACAATGTTGTGTGCACGTACCACGCACACACACAGCAGTGTTATGTTTCTCTTTAGCGCTGCATGATCTCTCCGAGTGTCACAAAGTCTTCTTTCCAACAAGACAGCCACCCTCCAGATCAAGCTGGCGGAAGGTGTGACATTGTGTTGCTCTTTGACCTGAGCAGCAACACACCCTCACCCCAGCCTGCCATGTCGCTGCGAGTGCTTTGTGGTGACTGGACTATGCACTGGGCCCTCAGCTGTCAAAACGCCCCCATCGGTACAGATTCAGTATAGGGTCCCTTTACGTATACGGTGTATACCTGACCCTAGCTGGCTATATGGATGTATATTACACACAGCCAGGACTCCTGGGTTCTATCCCAGCTCTGGGAGGGAAGTGGTGTCCAGTGGTTAGAGCAGAGGGGCCTGGGAGCCAGGACTCCTGAGTTACTCAAGAGAATGATGTTCTCATTGTGAGGGGAAGAGATATTTGTATCTGAGATACAGTTTACTGTCGAATCCCTGATCTCATGTCTCTTCAGGGATTCAAATTGTCTTACGTTTTATGTTAAAATGTCACACGCGGGGGGTGGGGCTCATGCGTCCAACTCGTTGAATGTTTGCTGGAACGAATCTCTTGCCACTCCTGCGGGAACGGTGGCGTGGTTTTATTTTGTGTAGGGTTTTATTTATTGTGGTTATTTATTGTGTGTTTATTCCCCCTATGCGGGGAGGGAAGTGGGGGGTGGAAAGCTGTTTGTCTTTTGTTTGAAATGGCCTATGAAACAGGCCAACCAATAAACTTTGGAAACGGAGATTTGAATTGGGCTTGTGTCTCTTTCAAGATGAACGTGCCCAACTATCGCGGTATCTGGCCTGTTCCATATCACACAAATGGCTTCCTCTACCCAATATCCCCTACCCTCTGCTATGGTCTAATGTTGTCCCCAGAGAAGAGACACAGAGCGGGGCTTCTTTGTGGAGCAGGGGCTTTCTTGCTCTCTATATCCTTCTCCTCCTTGACCATTCAGCTTAACTTCAGTACCTGGCAAGATTGACCTCTCGAGGTCCCTTCCAGTCCTATGATTCTAAAATAATGGAGCAAATAATCAACCAATCAATTTGCAGACACCTAGAAGATAATGAGGTGATAAGTAACACTCAGCCTGGATTTGTCATAAACAAATCATGTCAAACCAGAGTAATAACTTTCTTTGACAGGGTAACAAGCCTTGTAGACGGAGGGAAGGGGTAGATGTGGTAGAACTTGACTTTAGTAAAGCTTTTGATAATGTTTCGCATGAGCTCCACATGAACAAACTAGGGACATGCAACCTAGATGGAGCTACTATAAGGTGGGTGCAAAACTGAACATAAGCACAGCCGTACTGGGTCAGACCAAAGGTCCATCTAGCCCCGTGTCCTGTCTGCCGACAGCGGCCAGTGCCAGGTGCCCCAGAGGGAATGAACAGAACGGGGAATCATCAAGTGATCCATCCCCGTCACCCTTTCCCAGCTTCTGGCAAACAGAGGCTAGGGACACCATCCCTGCCCACCCTGGCTAATAGCCATTGATGGACCGATCCTCCATGAACTTTTCTAGTTCCTTTTTGAACCCTGTTCTAGTCCTGGCCTTCACAACATCCCCTGGCAAGGAGTTCCACAGGTTGACTGTACATTGGGTGAAGAAATACTTCCTTGTGTTTGTTTTAAACCTGCTGCCTATTAATGTCATTTGGTGACCCCTAGTTCTTGTGTTATGAGAAGGAGTAAATAACACTTCCTTATTTACCTTCTCCACACCCGTCATGCTTTTATAGACCTCATTCATATCTCCCCTTACTCGTCTTTTTCCCAAACTGGTTGGAAAATCGTCCCCAGAGAGTCGTTATCAGTGGTTCACAGTCAGGCTGGAAGGGCAGAACGAGTGGGGTCCCTCAGGGATCGGTTCTGGGCCTGGTTCTGTTCAGTATCTTCATCGATGATTTAGATAACGGCATACAGAGGACACTGATAAAGTTTGCGGCCGATACCAAGCTGGGAGGGGTTGCGAGTGCTTTGGAGGGTAGGATTAAAATTCAAAATGATCTGGACAAACTGGAGGAACGGTCTGAAGTAAGTAGGAGGAAATTCGATGAGGACAAATGCAAAGTCCTCCCCTTAGGAAGGATCAATCAGTTGCACGCACACAATGGGAAATGACGGCCTAGGAAGGAGTCCTGCGGAAAGGGACCTGGGGGTCAGAGTGGAGCAAGAGCTAAATATGGGTCAACAGTGTAACGCTGTCGCAAAAAGAGCGAACATCCTTCTGGGCTGGAGTAGCAGGAGTGTTGTAAGCGAGACACGAGAAGTAATTCTCCCGCTCTGCTCCGCGCTGATCAGGCCTCAGCTGGAGTTTTGTGTCGGGTTCTGGGCGCCACATTTCAGGAAGGACGTGGACAGATTGGAGAGAGTCCAGAGAAGAGCAACAAAATGATGAAAGGTCTAGAAAACTTGAGCTAGGAGGGAAGATTGAGAACCTGGGTTTGTTTAGTCTGGAGAGGAGATGAGATGAGAACGGTTTTCAAGTAGGTAAAGGTTGTTAGGAGGAGGAGGGAGGTAAATTGTTCTCGTTAACCTCTGAGGACAGGCCAAGAAGCACTGGGCTTAAACTGCAGCCAGGGCGGTTTCGGTTGGACGTTGGGAAACGCTCCCTGGCTGTCCGGGTGGTGAAGCCCTGGAATAAATTGCCCGGGGCCGGGGGGATTTGTGAGAGCAGGTTGGACAAACCCCTGTCGGGGGTGGTCTCGATATCGTGAGTCCTGCCACCCGTGCAGGGGACGGGACTAGTCGACCTCTCGAGGTGCCTTCCAGGCCTACGATTCTCCGATTCTATCGTAGAGGACAGGTCTTGACCATTCATGGTCCTCCCAGCCTCTAATCTCCTCCCACCCAACGATCCTAGACACCCAGTCCTGGCCATTCCTGGTGCTGGGCAGGTCTAAACTCCTCTCAATCCAAGCTGTAGGCAGATGACTCTTGGCTCATTGTCTCCTGGTGCTCCCAACCCACTCCTTGCTTTCTAAGGAAGCTAAATTTAGTCCTTGGCAAATAACCATCTTCTTGCCTTACCCAACCCAGTGAGTCACATCCTCTGAGAAATCCGGGCTGGTATTTTAAGAGGGCCCGGGCCACGGGTTGGGTGTGCTAGGGAAGGAGTGGGGCCAAGTGGTTAATGCACGGGAGTTCGGACTCAGGGGTTCTCTCCCCGGCTTGGAAGGGGAGTGGGGGCTGGTGGGTCAGAGCCAGGACTCCTGGGTTCTCTCCCCAGCTCCAAGAGGGCAGTGGGGTCTAGTGGGTTAGAGCGGGGGGGGCTGGGAGCCAGGACTCCTGGGTTCTATTGTACCTACCCAGCGGAAGGCCCTGGGTTATTTTGGGTCTTGAGGCTACATATTTCCTTCTGCTTTTGCTTTAGTGGCTGACGTGTCAAGAGAAGTTGTGTCCCCCAAACGCACCTGCCCCCATCACATCCGCCCCATCTCCCACCCCCAAACCACCCCCTTTTGTTCCCCCAGTAGAGGGTGTGGGAAGGGGGAGTTGGGGAAGGCAGAGCTGGGCTAGCAGGGGGCTGCTGATCGGGAGTGAGGGGCCCCAGGCACTGGGGAAGCCCGGAGTCGCTATGTGGCATCTCCCAGGGAACCCCCCTCCCCGATCCCGGCCGCCCCCACAGGCCTCTCCGGGCTCCCCCCGGCCTGAGCATCCAGAGATTTGTCTCATCTGCACCTCGGGAATCTCCAGCCAGGCCCTGCTAAGCTGGGCGGGGGAGGGAGTTTGGGGGGGTTGAAATCAAGTGGGTGGGGCGCAGGGGGAGGGGGTTGGGGGGAGCCGAGGGAGGGGAGCTGGGTGGGGGGGTCCATGTTTTTGGCCCTGGCCTCCCAGTGTCCTGCGGGAGGGGGGTCTCTCATAGATGGCTCCCCCCCAAAAGAGGGGGAGGCAGGGAGGTGGGGAGGTGCCCCGGTGGGCGTGGGGCTTGTATGGGGTTGGGGCAGTGGCGGGAGGTGGGGGCATAGCTGTGGGGGGGTGGGGCAGGCGTGCGAGGCTGGGGGGGCACACTGGCGGGGGGGGGGGCTCGATCTGCTCCCGCTGTGGTGGGGGCGGGGCGCTCTTGGACTCTGAGTCCGTCTCTGTCTATCCCGGGACACCACATCGCTGGGGGGTGGGCGGGTGAATCTCGACTGCGGCTCCCATTCCCACCCCCACCTTGGGGCACAAAGACCTGGGACGTCCCGCCACCCACCCCGTCAGCCGGCGGGGCGGCCCCCACCCCCACCCATCCAGCTGGGTGTGCGCCCCCCCCCCGGGTGCCTGAAGCCAGGGGAAACCCCTCCAATAACAACCGTGTATCCCAGAGAGACCCTACGATAACAAACCGCCTCCCTAGACACCTCGCCACAACGAGCCAGCCTGAGCGGCCCCCGAGAGACCCTACAATAACAATCGCCCAACGGAAACTCAGCCTCTGGGCAGGCCGGGCCAGGATTTCCCCAGTTCCGGCCACGTTGGTGTCTGTCTGTCTGTCCCAGCTCTCTGGTGCCCCTCGCTCCCGACCCGCAGCCCCCTGCTAGCCCAGCCCTGCCCCCCCCCAGCCCTGCCGGTGCCCCTCACTCCCGACCCACAGCCCCCTGCCCACCCAGCCCTGCCGGTGCCCCTCACTCCCGACCCGCAGCCCCCTGCCCACCCAGCCCTGCCGGTGCCCCTCACTCCCGACCCGCAGCCCCCTGCCCGCC